TTGTTTGTGTCTGAGTGTTTTCCCCGCCTGAAGGAAGGAGAAGGAGCAGGGGGGCGACGACGACAACGACGATTGCACTCGGGGGCAGAAGGAACGCCGCGCTGGGTCCGCGGTCCCTATGGCATTCTACCTCTGTCGCTAGAGGCTAGAGGCCCCTCTGTGACTCTGGTGCTGCTGGAGGACGACAACAGCGAAGATGAAGAGGATGACAAGAAGGAGCCGAGCGCAGCAGAAGAGCGGGGTGCCGGACGGACTTAGCAGGAGAGAAAGCGGCGAGCACGTTCGAAAAGAGCGCAATGCCACGAAGACTACCGAACGGAGATCACTGGAGGGGGGTTGGGCAGGGTAACAAGCGAAGCGTGTGAGAAATGAGAACGACGAGGAGGAGGACGCGGAGGGAGGGAGAGGGAGACAATGGATAAGAAGAACCACTATTCCTCCTTCTCGTGTTTCCCATCATCATCAGAATCTTCATCAATATCATCAACCACAGCATCAATATCACCATCACCATCACCATCACCATCATCACCAATCACAATCGTCATCATCATCAGCAGCATCATCATGTGCATCACCATCAATACCAACACGATCGTCATTATCGTCATCATCAGCATTATCGCCATCATCAGCAGCATCAGCATCAGCATCAGCATCAGCATCAGCATCAGCATCAGCATCAGCATCAGCGTCATCACTATCACCATCACCATCACAATCATCATCAGCAACAGCAACATCATCATCATCGTCATCATCATCATCGTCGTCGTTGCCGTGGTCGTCACCGTGGTCGTTTTCATCGTCATCATCATCGTCATCATCACCATATCGTATCAATTGTCCTTCTCGCCTTCCCTTTCCTTCCTCCTCGTGCTCCTCCTCTCCCGTTCTCTTCCGCGCGCACGCTCCCGCGCAAGTGCCCAAGCGCGGGGAAGCGCGCGCGGGAGAGAGCGAGCCCGAAGCTTGGCCCGAGGGCCGCCGCCGCGCGAGCCGCAGCCGCCAGCAAGACGGCGCCGTCCGCAGCAGCAAATTGCCCCCGTTTGGCCCAGACCGCGGCGGCCATCGCACAGACGACTGGAGTTCCAGGCGCGCGATTGCTTGAGCTAGAACCAGTGGGCGGGAAGGAAAGACGAGGAGAAGGACGAACACGAAAACGAGGACGACGACGATGACGAGGACGGCGACGACGACGACGATGACGACGACGATGACGGCCAGGTGGTCGTCGTGGCCAGGTGGCGGCCTGCAGCAGCACGTACAGGAGAACTCCGAGGCTCCAGAGGTCCGCCCGGAAGTCGTAAGGCCTGCCCTCCAAAACCTTCGCACGGGCTGGGCCAGAGAGTTTGACGACAGAGGGGGCGGCGGAGGGAAAACCAGGAAGCAAAGAGGTGTGCAACACGGAAGGAGACATAAAAAGGGACCAATAGGAACATGGAAGAGAAGAAGAAAAGGGAAGAAAAACAAGGCAAAGGTACAAGAGGTGAGAAGGGGCGGAAGGAGAAATCGCGGAAAACAAACTAACCAATATCGTTTTTTATGTTCCGGGATAGCAGCCGTCATCGGCCCTGCCCCCCCCAAACAAATGACGTCACGTTCCGCCGGCGGCGTAATGCCTGGGGATAACCGAGACCAAATAGAAGCAGCATGGTGGTGACGATCTGCACCACAACCCTTGTGTACACCAGTGTTCGCGTGCACCACAACGCGCGTGCACACCATAGCGTCAGTGATGCCGCAACAGCCGTGTGCAACGCAACGTCTGTGTACACCACAGTGCTCGCGTGCACCACAGCGCCTGTGTACACCACAACGAATGTGTAACCCGGAGCTGTCCTTAACCCCCCCGACATGAATGTTTCCTCGGCGGCCTAATTCACGGATTAATGCTCCAATAATCGAAGGAAACTTATTACGTTTGCCCGCGGAGCCCGCCAGCAACGCTCTCATGGAAAATCTTGGTGCAGAAACCTGGCGCTCAGAAGTTTTATCATGAACGCTCCATCCTGAGAAGGACTGTTGAACATCAGGCCCCGAGCAAGCCCTCCACAATCTCCATATACAGCGTCGTCGTCGGCGACGCGGACGCCGACGACGATGCTGTAAATGTATCTTGTAGATGAACTGGCCTGCCGCGCCACTCCCCTGCAAGCAAGTAGATTTCACGCGGCTGGCTGTGAGAACCGGCCTCGGTCGACGAATGCAATATATATATATATATATATATATATATATATATATATATATATATATATATAATATATATATATATATATATATATATATATACCCCGACCCTCCGCTTTTCTTCGGCGCAGCCAGAGCGCTGTGTTCAAAGGAAGAGGGCCCGCCCGAGCTACCCAGAAGTTTTGAAAAACCCCCACACACCAACACCGGCCCACACTGGCCCACGCCAGCCCACCAGCCAGAGCTCGCCGAATACCCCCCACCCGCACTGGCTCACCAGGAGGCCCCGGCAGCCAGCAGGGTGGAGGTTTCAGCGAGCCCCGAGTGCTAGGAACTTCTGAGGGTACTCTGGGGGGGACCAAGACTTAGACTCTGAGAAACAACAGGCATGCACGCACGAACATGCGCTATGACGGGGTTCTCAGACTGAATAGGCATGCGCGCACAGAGTGCACTATAACGAGTACGCCAGGCAGAGACACGGGAGGTGGCCCAAGCAAACTGCGGATGACCCCCTTGGGGTCGGCTGCGCCGAACGTTTCACGGGAGCCTCTCAGTATAAGCTACTCGGGGAGATGCCATATACCCCGACCCTCCGCTTTTCTTCGGCGCAGCCAGAGCGCTGTGTTCAAAGGAAGAGGGCCCGCCCGAGCTACCCAGAAGTTTTGAAAAAAAAAAAAACACCGGCCCACACTGGCCCACGCCAGCCCACCAGCCAGAGCTCGCCGAATACCCCCCGCCCGCACTGGCTCACCAGGAGGCCCCGGCAGCCAGCAGGGTGGAGGTTTCAGCGAGCCCCGAGTGCTAGGAACTTCTGAGGGTACTCTGGGGGGGACCAAGACTCTTCCATGACCCCTACTCTGCACAGACTGCGTTGCAGGATGGGCGTTCCCCCCTTTTACGCATGCCCCGCCTGGCGCCTCTCCAGAAACTGACTGATCAGAAGGGAGAGGAATAGGATGAAGTCTGAGAGGAGGGGGTTGGAGGAGAGGGAAGCATCCTTTCAGACATGGGAGGCGAGCGCGCGGGCATCCGCAAGCTGCAGATCCGACAGCTGCAGCTCGGCCAGCGCGGCCACAGCGTCCTGCACGTAGACCCGTGCAGACCGCGCGCTCGCCCACCTCCCTCTCAGAAGGGTCAGCTCGAGGCTGCCATGCTCCAAGAAGTCATGCGTGGCGCCTCCGCGCCGAAACGAATACAAGGTCACCCTCTCGTCGGTGAGGCCCAGCGCGACCACCGCGCGCCTGAAGAGCCGCGTGAACTCACCCCTCTCGGTGTTCAGGATGAGCTCGTCTGGCGGTAGCTGTTGCACATGCTGCACCAGCAGCTTCACCGCGACCCTGGAGCGGATCATGACGAGCTCAAGCCTGCCGTCTCGCTGCCCCGTCTTAGTGTTGCGGAGCGCCACGATAGCTGACATCCGCCGCTGAAAAATGCGAATGTCCTTCCGCCTCAGTTGAAGCATCTCACCACTGCGCAGCATCCCTGCGTAGCCGACGGCGAGCAAGGCGCCCACCCGCGGCAAGCCCCACCAGCAGAAGGCCCCTGCAAAGGCGAGGGCGAGCAGCGGCGGCATCGGCATGGCACGGGCGTTGGGCTCCAACTTAAGCCAAGTCTTTTGGAGTTTCCAACTCTGCTTCAACTTGCCCGACAGCGACGGGCTGAATAATGGCACCGCAGCGAGCACACTGTTCACTGCAAGTAGTGAGCCGCCCGCGCGCCATGCGTGCTCGATGTGCAGGGCAACGCCTTGGTCAACATCTCGCACACTCTTTGGGCGCAGCTGCTGCTCGTTGAAAAAATCTCGTAAGTGCTGTCGCGCCTGATCATGGCGCTGCCTGGTGACTGCAGCAACTCTTCCATCCTGAAGCGGCCTGCTACGCCTGAGCCGCTTGGCGTCCACGGCCCGCTTGAGCCGCGCTGCCGCGGCCTGCGCGCCGACGCCCCCTGCAGCCCTTGTCAAACCAGCGCGACGGCACATCCGCTGGGTTGTCGTCCGTGTCGACGTACGCGTACAGCGGGTAGCTGCCGCAGGCGAGGAGGCACGACGCGTGCGCCCGCATCCAGCCCCAGAGTCTCCTGGCGCTGGACCGCCCCCTGGCGAGCACGCTGGCCGCCACCTGCGAGTCGAGGAGGTGGAGGTAGCGGGTCCCAAATCGAGCTGTCGTTCGGGCACGCCACTTGACCGCATTCACAGCTGCGCCCACCTCCAGCTCGTTGATGTGCGCCTCCTGCCTCCACGGGAAGCCGCGCCCAATGGACCGCGTCCACAGGTTGGACTGCAGCCCGGAGCGCGGCCAGGCCTTGGCACGAAAGGGGGCCTGCAGGTCTAGTCTGACGTCTGCACCTCCTCTGCTGGCGATCCGCAGGTACTTGAACACCAGCCGCCTCTCGAGGTCAGGATCACTAACCTCGGCGCCCCCAAACTCGGGCTCCTGGCCCCACGATGGCGGCGCCGCCCCCGTGCGGAGCAGCGGCGCGATGTCGGGGGCCGCACGGCCAGCCTCTCGAGCCAAGAGCCGCGCAAACAAGTACGACACGACCTGCACGGAGAACGAGTTCCCGATGAGCGACGACCTGATGATTTCCGCCTCAACAACAGGCAAAGAGTCCTTCACAGCAGCGCGTGTGCACCCTCGATCAAAGCCCATCAGCGTCTCACGCTCATCAGCAGTGGTGATGCGCCACTTGTCCCTGGCCGCGTTCCAAAAAGAAGTTCTGATCCTCAAAATTGTACACCTGCGTCACGTAGCTGGAGGCTGTCCATCGTTCGATCGCGATGTCGCTGGCCGTCTGGATCCCTGCGACCGGGGCTGGGGCAGAGCTCCTCTTGTGCAGCTTAGCGAAGGTTGCCAGCGCGTGACTAGGATCAAGCAGGCTCCAGCCGTCTTCAGCCCAGACTGGGACGGCCTCAGCAGCGACATGGAGCTTCACCCTGTGGTAGAACTCAGCCTCCTGGATCTCAATCACATCGTCGCGGGCTTGCAGCTGCCAGGAGAGCCAATACAGGCGCGGCCTACGCACCGCCCCCACATCCATGGCCTCGATGCGGTACGGCTTGACGCCAAGCACCTCGGAGACCATCGCTATGTCGTCCTGCGGCGTGCCCGCCACGTTCTCGACGAACCACTTGGTGCGCTGCTTGCCGAAGACCCGCTCGATGGTTCTGAAGGCCTTGGGCAGCTCGAAGAACAGCTTGCTCTTCGCACCAGTGATCCCCTTGCCAGCTGCATTGAGCCCGCTCACGTCAATACACGGCGAGCCGCCTCCTGCAATCGCATAGCTCGCAGCCTCAGCTGCAGAGCGGGCGACCTTATCCAACGATTCTGGGGCGAGTTTGGTGATGTCCCCCAGCTCGATCACCCCTGGTCATCGCTGCCTGACGCACCTCTTGGCCCCCTTGTCTATCTCCGAAGAAGCGTACATGACGACCCTGCAGGGGCACCGCGACAAGGCCACCATCGCCGCGCCGATCCCACCAAAGAAGTCGAAGAGCGCCACTGTCGGCAAGGGCACCCCTCGAGGCAGCAGCTCCGGCGGCACTACCGATGACATAGCGCCCCGTGGCAGGAAGGCGAGCCCCTCCTCACCAGGGTCAGCGCCCGCCACCTCCGCCCCATGCTTGGTGAAGCCCGTCGAGTAGCACAGCCCGCCGCCCTCCTCGCCGGCGTCGGTGGCGAGGACGACGGGGTCGAAGGTCGCGCGGATGCTGGTGAACGCCATCGGCAGCAAGCACAGGGCGGCCAGCAGCTCGGTGCGCGCCCCCTCGGGCAGGCGAACAACCTGCTGCAGGGCGCTCCCCCCCCGCTCTGAGGCGGCCCTCAGCTCGGGGATGATCCATACCTCGTTGAGCGTCGCGAAGAGCGGCCTGCGAAACTCGAACGCTCGGGCAAGCCGCCCAAGCACCATGAGGCAGGCCTTGGCGGTCACCTTCTCCCTGCCAGCAAGCAGCCACATGATCATCTGCCCGACGCTCATCAGGTTGTCAATCGTGACCCCCACGCGGCCGGCGCCCCCGTCCACGAGGGCGCCCATCCTGACGAGGCGACGCTGCCGACACACCGCCTTCTTGTCCGACCAGGGGACGCGGGCAGAGGAGCACGCCCTCCGCTGGCGCTCCTGAGAGTCGCTGATGGTCCCCTCGATGAGGGTGGCGACGCTCTCGGGCACGATCTCGGGGGAATCGAAATCGTCGAGGTAGTACTGCACCCACGCCTGGGCCTTGGTTTGAGGCACAAGCGGCAGCGGGCGGTCACGCCGCCACTCTACCTTCTCCTCAAACCCCGCGCTGTGAGGCCCATCACCGATGCCTAGCCGCCGATGCAGGTGCTGGAACAAGCTCACTGCAGACAGCCAGCCCATCGGGATCACCGCGACCGCCATCTTGACCCACTTGAGCTGCGGCCGCCCCGCCAGCGACCCAGGCACCGGTTTGCGCAACGCCATGTACCCCCGCCAGGCCTTCGGTAGAGCGTACAGATGAAACGCCCCCGACTGGTCGTCTGACGACCACAACAAGGCCTGGCCATCAGGCACGACGATGGACGCCCACGTCGAGCTGGGGGTCAGCGTGTCCAGGTCGGTCTCAGCAATCCGCTGGTAGGCATTCTGCGGCACCATGTTGATGATGAGCCTGGTGACCCTCGTGAAGGGCGGCGTTGGGGTCCCCGACTTCGCAACTGCAAAGGCCCCCGCGAGGACCTGCTTCCCCCCGACCTGGAAGATCTCCCGGTCCTCGACAGGCTCGAAGATGCCAGCGTCCACCAAGTGCTTGCACAGGGTGTACCGCTCGTCGTCGCTTGCCACTTGCACGCTGACTTTCGGGACCTCCTCTGGCCATTCATCCTGAGGCTTGAGGAGCAGCGTGGGGTCCAACAACCACTCCTGCACATGCGGAGCTGCGAGATCCATGGCCTGCACGGAACCTGCCAATCCCGGCTTGGGCAGCCCTGGTAGAAGCTCGCCCATCACCAGTGGCCCCCCGCGCTCAACCTCCTGTCCGCTGTAGCCGATCCCTTTAAACTTGATCAGCTTGTCGATGTCCAGGTCGCTCAGCGGCTCCAGCGCGTCCTTCGCGAAGTAGGCGGCCGCGCAGCTGATGTTGGCAAGCGCCACCTGCTGCGCCTGAGATGCGATCTGAGGCCAGGCCCGAGGCTCGCCTGCCGCGCGCCCCTCTGCTTCAAAGTTGAGCCCAGCAATGATGGCCCACTCGATGGCCTCCTGGCAGCCCTTGTCCACGAGAGCCCCCTGGTCACGAAGCGGTGCTCCGCTCTTGATGAGGGCCTCCGTCGCTAGGAATGAGCTCTGCATCGGCAGAGGCAGCGGGAGGAGATCACGACGACGCGCTGCCCGCGGATCTGGCTGCGCCGAACCCACGCGACGGAGGTGCGACCCGAAAGCACCTGGGTCTGCACGGCACACGTTGACAACGCTGAGCGCATACTCCAGCTTCGTGACTTGGCACCTGGTCAACTCTTTGACTTGGCGCGCTGCAAGATGGTCATCAGCCGCGCCTTGCGCGCACCCTTCGTACCCCGGGGCCCTCGGGCGTTCGCTGCCCCCAGTTCCTTGAACGTGGGGATCTGGGGGGCGCCCTCGTTCAGCCGCACCTCTCTCGACTGGCTGCCCGTCGCCCCCGCTGCTGCCCGAGGAATCGACGGGCTGCGGCTGATGCTCTTCGCTCTGAGGCTCGCCTGAGGACGCCCGTTGCCCACAGCAGCCGCTAGCACCTTTCTGACTGGACTGGGCCCAGCCTCGCGACCGCTCTTCGCAATCATGTCCAGGGACGCTGGGCCCCCTCCAACAACAGTGTGGGGTGAGGGAGCCTGCGGGTGGCCTGCAGGAGGAGACGCCCGCCCCGGCGACTCGCCCCGGCCGAGCCCCTAGAAACGCGGCTTCTTGGCGAGCAGCTTCTCGCGGAGCTCCTCGCGCTTCAACTCCGCGTGGGCCGCCCGCCGCGCTGCCACCTCCTCGTCGCGAGAGGCGACGCTGGGCTGAGCGTCCGTAGGGATGAGGGCCATCCACTTCGCCGTGTACCAGTCGCCGTCCTTGATCGCCGCGGTGCGTGCCTTGAACTCCTGCGTCGCGACATCGAGCGCCTTGACCGTGGACCCCGACAAGCCCATGTCGAGGATGGTCGCGAAGGTACGCAGCAGCCTCACCTCGTGCGCCCCCGGACTCTTCGGCGGGTGCTCGACGAAGAACACCGTGTCCAGGAAGGCCCGGCAGCAGGGAGGAAGCTCGCCGCCAGGGGCACCCGCTGGGAACTGCTTGACGAGTGCCTCGAGCCCCGACTTCAAGAGGCGGCCTGGCTTGCGCCTCGCGTAGTCGATGAAGTGGTCGTGCTTCACTCGGCCCTCGCTGCGATCTCCAAGTACATCGTCGTCCGACTCCCTGCTTGCCCCTGACTCGTCGTCGTCGCGCGGCGGGCTCCCGCGGCGCCCACGACCTCCACCGAGCCTTGCAAGCTGCTCGCGCTCGAAGCTCGAGTGCCCGTGGCTCGAGCGCCCTCGGCCTAGGCTCCCGACCTTCTCGATGGCCCGCGAGGCGAGCACCTCCTGCGCTGGCCTGTGGGCACTGTCGTGGCGGCGGCCCTGCGCAGCCACCGCGCGTTCCTGCAGCAGCTCCTGGGTCCGCTCCCCCGCGACGTCGGTCCCTTCCAGCTGGCGCATGGCCTCGTCGAGAGCATAGATGCCGCCACCAGCGCTGCCACGGCCACGGCTCCTCGACCTCCGAGGCGGCGCCTCGCGCCGAGCGGGCGGCGCGCGGCCGCGGGGCTCGCCGCGCGCCTCTGCCCCAGCGCGGGCGCCAGCCCGCCCACCCTCGCACGGCTGGCCAGCATCGTCCGGCCTCCCGCCAGCGAGGGGGGCGCGTGCCTTCCGAGGGGCAGGGACCAAGGCGTCGCCACGGGCCCCCTCGCCAAGAGCCGGGAGCCGCCGCGGCTCTGGCAGAGGGAGCGTGGCCCGAGGCGGCCCCCGCCGAGGGGGCGAGCGTGGGGCCTCCTCGACGGCACGCCAGGCACCCGCGAGCTCCTCGGGCCCTGGGTCGAGGTGCTCGCCGTCGTCCTCATCCTCGTCGTCCAGGCCCTCGGGTTCGGGCACAGCAGCCTCCTCGCCTCGATTGCCTTTTGCATCTCCATCGGCGCGCTGAGCCATAGCGATGCGAGCCCGCTCGAGGGCCCCGTCGCTGCCCCACTGCATGCAGAGCGCGCTCGCCTCGTCCTCGGTCACCTCGCGCACCAAGTTGACGTGCTCGAGAGCGTAGCCGTCTGGGCCGACGACGCGGCACTCCCGCGCAGGCACGGCGCAGATGTGCAGCAGCGTGTCGGCCCCCCGAGCGCTCGCCTCGCCGACCGCCGAGGCGTACCACTCGAAGTACGCGTCCGACGCGGCGATGTGCTGAAACGCCACCAGCACGCCGCCGCCAGTGGGCCGCCAGGCGCGCTCGACGCAGACGAGCTCGGATCCCTGGCTGGCCCATGAGTCGTCCAGCACGCCCACCTGCAGCAGCGTGCCCGGCCGCAACGCCACCCGCTCCAGGGCGTCGGAGTCGAGCTCCGAGTTGATCCAGAGCCCGGCCATCTCAGGCCCCGCCGCCGCCAGCCGTCATGGCGCGCAGGCTGTCCCTCCACGGGAGAGCCCACGGCGGCGGCGGGCGGCCGCGGCCCGCTGCGCAGCCCACTGGGCGCGCTGGCGAACACCAGCGCGCCCTCTGAACCAAGCAAAATGCGGATGACCCCCTTGGGGTCGGCTGCGCCGAACGTTTCACGGGAGCCTCTCAGTATAAGCTACTCGGGGAGATGCCACATATATACATATATATATACATACATACACATACACATACACATACACATACACATACACATACACATACACATACACATACACATACACATACACATACACATACACATACACATACACATACACATACACATACACATATATATATATATATATATATGTGTGTGTGTGTGTGTATTGCAACCCCAAGCACGTGTACGCTACTGACTGCGAGAACCTGCTTCGGCAACGAATGCGATCTACATTGCCATCCTCTTCCAAACCTGTTCAGAATTCCTCCATCCACTGCGGCGAACAATAATGGGAAACCCATTGGCGGGCAGCGTCACGGGCGCCGACGCTGAGCATACGCGCGTGTATTGTACATGTATATCAGCCCGCGGCGAAAGCTTCGTGCAAACACGACGACATTAAGAAGGGGATGGCCAGCAACGCCCCTGGCAAATGATATGTCGATACATATATTTATATATGTATGTGTATATGTATATACATATATGTGTGTGTGTGTTTCCTTATCCTCTTACAGACGTGCTCATAACTGCTGTCGTGCAGGGGAAACCCAGAGAGCACGACTCACTGGGAAAGAAAACGTCATTACCCTGCCCACCCAACAATAGGAGGACAACTAATCGACGGCCCGCGCCGCTGGCGCTGACGTTGAAGATGCGCATGTGCTTTGTACGTGTGGCCCGCCTGTATCGCCGAGAGGAATACCTCCCTAACATCATCTAGCGCGGAGAACAATCGCCCACAGCCGCGGTGGTTTGCCCAAGGCCATCCTTGTTCGTGAAAGGGAACCGCTCTTTGCCCAATTATCGTCTCTATTGGTTGGCTCGCGCGTGTTCTTGGTTTGTCTTTGCGTTTTCGTGGTTGTCTTCGTTTCCTTGGTTTCCTGGCCTCCCCGCGGCCTCCCAAGGGCCCCAGGGCTCTCGACGGCGGCCTGGCGGGCAGGGCAGGAAACCAAGAAAACCAAAGAACACACAAAGACAAACTAAGAAAACAGCCGCTCGAACCAAGAAAACCAAGACAACCATATGTGTTGATGGCTTTCTTGATTGGCTGGCGCGTTGTTCATAATGTTTTATTGGTTGTCTTCGTTGTCTTGATGTCCTGGCCTCCCCGAGGCCTCCCGAGGGCCCCAGGGCTCTCGACGGCGGCCTGGCAGGCAGGCCAGGGAACCAAGACAACCAAGAGAACCAAGAAACCGCACAGACAAATCAAGAAATCAGCCGCTCGAACCAAGACTGCACAGAAAACCATTGGTTGTCCTGGTGTTCTTGATTGGCTGGCGCCTTTTCTTGCTTATATATATATATATATATATATATATATGTGTGTGTGTGTGTTCTTGGTCTCCTTAGTTTTCTTTGTTTCCTGGCTTCCCCGCGGCCTCCTGAGAGCTCCCCATGGGGCCACGAAACGTGTGAGGGGTAAACCGACATGGGTGCGGCGGGCGCACGCGAACGCAGCCACTGGGGCCTTCGATGGAGCCCCCGATGGGGCCACGAAACGTGTGAGGGGTGTGCCCAAATGGGCGCGGCAGGCGCATCCGAACGGAGCCACTGGGGCCTTTGGTGGAGCCCCCTATGAGGCCATGCGTGTGAGGGGTGTGCCGACATGGGCGCACTGGCGCATGCGAACGCAGCCACTGGGATCTTCGGTGGAGCTCCCTATGGGGCCACGAAGCGTGTGAGGGGTGTGCCAACATGAATGCTTCGGGCGCATGCGAACGCAACCACTGGGGCCTTTGCTGGAGCACCCTATGGGGCCACGAAACGTATGATGGGTTGTGCCGATATGGTTGAGCGGTGCGGAAGGCAGAGGCAAGGATGTGAGGAGTGAGGAGGGGGAGGAGAGGAGAGAAGAGGAGAGGAGAGGAGAAGAGGGGCGCGGGGCGCTGTCTCTTCAAAGCGGGGACCCAGCACCACACGACGGTTGGGAGTAAGGGAGATTACATGTGAGAGGAGATGTGGGAGGGAAGGGGAGACGGGAGGAGGGCAGAGGGTGACATCGGGGAATTCGCGAAGACCAGACAATGGAGGAAGAGGAAACAAGAGAAGAAGAAGGAGGGGGAAAGGAATAACGGGAGAGGTAAGACGAGTAAGTGAGCGGCGGGGCCTTCGCGCTAGCGACGGGGCCGAGGTGGCCAGGGCTGGCTCTGCGCATCCTCGCCCGGGGCGCCGTCGACCAGAGAGTCGAGGCCGCAGCGGCGGGGCCCGTCGTGGCCGCCCCTGTCGCCCCCGAGGCCGAGAGGGTCGCAATCGTTATTCGTGCCCGCCTCCGCGACAGCTCCTTCCAACCGGTCGGGCTGAGCTCGGCCCGCGGGGCGATCGGCGGCGCCGGGGCCGCATGTCCATCGAGCCTCGGGCGCGGCCCTGCGCGCGGCCCGCGCACAGGTGGGGAGGCGGCATGGTCCGAGGGCGGCGGTCATGTTGACTGCCGTGCAATCGGCAAGCCGCCACCTGGCGCCGCCGCTCGGCCTGGCGGAACAAGCTTCGAAAT